CGCCTCAATTTCGCGACACTACAACTCGCCATCCCAATGAGGTCACGTTTCATGGGCCGAAAGCAACAGCAACCATGGCAACGCACGGCGTCAACAGATCGATCTTTGAAACTTACACGTTTGCGTCGTGGGGGATCCCAAGAGGTTCTAGGCACGTTTCTAATAAGACCTACTGTTCTCAAGTGCACTCGATCTTCCCCACTAGACGTCGAGGGACATTTGAAGAGTTTTTGCTCCACATATAATGAGCATTTTCTCCATTCTCCTCTTCCTACTCGTCCAAGAGGCCGTCTTGGCCAAATACATGCTCCTGCCTGGAAACTACATTGGTAAAAACTCAATCACCGAATTCCCGGAATGGAAATCGTGCAGATGTGCAAACGCCTGCGACAAGTATCAGGAAATCCGTGGTCATATTACACTTCCTGGTAACATTCCAGTGATAATTTTTTTTTTCCTCATTCAGGGAAGAAAGGTGCCAAGGGTTCGCCCTGAAGAAGGGTGATGGTAGTTTCACTTGTCAGCTCCTCTCCAAAAACTCCACAATTGCAGTAGATCCTGATAAAACATCCAGGGTCTCTCTTTCAGGTAAGGGTTCCACCTAGTCCAAGGGATCCATGAAGGAGAGTACCAATACGCATTTGCTCATTTACACTTGTATCATGTACAAGCGCGAGCAGCATCACATATTCAACCTGTATACCTCGTATATGTCGTCGGGTTTTGTGGGATGGATTAATGAAATCGCGAATGGATAATGCTGACTCCCCAGCAGTAAAATCTACAAAATAAATTAATTAAGAGAAGATCGCTGACGTTATGGTAAGCAATCGTAGTTGTAGACAGGGTTGGAAACGATACAACGACCAGAAAATGCGATTTGTCATTAAAGGACTGGCATTGCTTCCTTTTCCTTCCCCATGTATTAAGAATTGCTATTCCTATCCACGGACATTTGTACTGCTATTCAAGGACTATAACTTTAAACCTAAATCTTTTCACCATATTCTCATGTTCTCAACCCATCTTTGTTCATTTTAATTATTTAAACTTGGATTGAATGAAACCTATCTTTATGTCTTAAAATATTGTTAGATATCCAGGAACCAATTCTGAATTTTTACTATAAAAAAAATAAATTGCCAAGAGTGACTACAAGAACAATATTTATATTGTAATTTGAATTTTAGACGCATAATTGGCCTGGAAATATATCACCTCAATTCTTTAACGTCCGAAAAACGAATGTCTCACTCCCACGCTTTCATTTAATGCTTCATTTCCTACATAATTACTATTGAAACATGTGAAATTCCCTGTCTTATAATTCAGAAAGTTCACCTCAGCTGAAAAATTGAAGTCATTGCCTAAAAAGCGCCTTAAGATTTCCGAAGAGTTGTAAGGAAGTCAGTACAGTCACGGATCTTCTTGGTAAATGATTTGACAAAACTTTCACGTACATGGTACATTCATGCAAACATTGACCTCACCATTTTTTAAGACTTCAAGAACTATACAATAGTTTACCCAACAAGAATGTCGGAGATATAGTGTCAACAAGCTAGGAGCGTCTATATCCAATATGTTTTTTTTCTTCCCTGCAGAAACAGTTGCTCCAAAAGAATTCGAATTTGCGATGGTCACGGGGAAAATTCATTTTCTGAGAGCGATGGGGGAAGGACAATACATGAAAGCAAAGACCACTTGCAAAGGCGAAGGTTTGGCTCACCTCGTCATGGACGATCGAGGTCAAGAGTGGCACGATTACGTCCTTGAATTCATGGAGTCGCATTTCCCATCTCAAAGCAAGTTTTGGATCGGAGCTGACGACATGAATTGGGATAAAGTGCACTCCTGGGTTGACGGTGAGGAAGATGATCCATTTTAGGATCATGAATGAGCGTTGAAGTTATTTATGCTTCATTGGTGGCAAAGAGAACAGGAGATTATGGTTCTACCGAATGTGGATGTAGTTCATCTACTGCTAGTATGATGAATCCTAGGGAAAGTTATATTCTCAGAAAGAATGATGGCGCGTATGAAGGCAATTATATTGTCGCAGCAAACTTGACATACTCATATACCAATGGAATAGAAGAACTGATGAATATTCCATGCAAGCTGACCTCACGCACTATTAGATTGTATTCGTTGCAGACACATTGGTGGCTGATTCAATGAAGACCTTCTGGCTTCCGGGCGAGCCGAATTTCAAGGAGGGAGCACAGGATGGGAGATGTGTCGCGATGGGGAAGTCTCCAGATTCTCCAGGGGGGATGTGGGAGGATGTCTCCTGTTTGAAAACCCTGCCTATCACCTGCGAAGTCCGTTTCCCCTAACTCCTACCCCAGAAACCCGCGAAAGATGTGAAGGCAGCTCTTAGTATTTGGGGAGTTTTCTTGTGGGAAAAGGAATTACACATAATTCTATTCACAATGTTGTTGATGAGTTATTGAATTTGAAGTCAGAGAGTTTACATACTACTATTTCATGTATAGGGGAATGTGTTACTGTCGAAACTTTTTATTTCTCCTATGGCCGATTGTCTTGCCTTTGTTTCAAATAGGGGTTTGTGAAACGTATCAGAAGTACTTGCACTGAAAAATGTATATGTCTAGTTAGCTCCATGTAATTTTCCCCCTTTCTTCTCTCGGAAAAATCATGAGTTTAATTGCTATGATAGTCATGCTCATGAGAAGATATTTCGACCGCTTTCGAAGGAAGTGTAGATATGAAACGACTTGGTTTGTAAAGCCTTGTCTATTTCTTGGTTGTTTTTTTAGAATGTGAACTCAGTCGTGGAGCACTTCTGTTAACATTACTAACAGAAGGAGCAATAAACTTGGAGGATGAAAACAGTAAAAATTTATTATATAGTTTATTTCTGTAAAAATGCTATTCTCTCCTCCATGCTAAGACCTGTTTCAAAGTGGATACAAAAAAGACCTGATTCCTAAACATGCAAAATATATTAAAGTTAATGTGATGCACAACATCTGTTCCAACATCCCAGTTGCAAGAATTAAGAAATCGACCAATTAATTAACGCTGATAGGTATTCGTCATACATGTGTTCGTTTCCCGTACAAAGTCGTAGAATCATTTTTTTAATTATCAGTTTCCTTTCCTTAGTGCCCATTAGGTGCAATAACGTTAATTGAAAGTTAAGCAACGATAGCTGTTTCTTAATCTTGCTAGACCTAATCACTCTATATTTGGATTGTCCCAACTGTCGATTGAAACATGAGAGCATCTATAAGAGACGTCATGACCGTAGGGCGAGGCTGACCTTCATCCGTTTGCTTCTTGTTCTCAATGAGCATCAGTCGCCTTCATCGTGATTCCCGATTTGTATGAATGATTTAATGCCTAAAACTTTGAGAGTGCTGGGGTCGGTTCCGCAACTGCTAACGTCACGGTTTCGCAACTCTCTCCAAAATTTGCATCATAACTGGGACGAATTGACTGAGTTCAATTATACAGGGATGGCCACTGGCTCGCATACATTGTTATGATGGAGGTTCTTCGTCCTGGTTTATTGTGGTCATGGGGAAAGACAGATAGATAGAAAAGGGGAAGAGGATCATTTCATGCTGATTGGAATTCTTTGTTGGCCTCCGTGGTGGACTAGGAGAACCTATTACATTCTAAACAATTATCGAACTTCGTATTATTTCGGTTCTGTTCAAATGGAATATGTCAATCCTACTCGTGATTCATGGTACTTTTCTAGCGAGGATGCAAAAGAAGCTATATGCCGTGAGTGGGGGTGGAATGTCCATGCATTGAAAATTTGCAAAGGAATCCTGAATAAAGATTTTTCCCCAATAAACTTTGACTGCGCTTCAATCTTCACGCACTGAAAAACACTAAAAAGGATCTGCATCACGTACATCAATAATTCTTACTTACATCAATTCAAACGTCTCGCGTTCCTCCACCTCCGTTGTTTGGATCTTCTCTTTCTAATGTAGGAGACATTATTGCGCTGAATTCATGGGATGAGCTGAGATTGAAACGGTGGTTTGCAGTGGCTGATAGATTTGGTGGAATACAGAGATATCTCGTCCAACATCCATAATTAACATGATGGCGGCCTGCTTGTATGCCATGCTTTCTAAAGGCATTTTCTTCTCGAAACTAGTCCAGACCGCACGAGGAACTCATAGGCCTAATGTTCCTCGACCGGTATGAAATGGTTCATGAAACTCGAAAAATACCTACATTCGGTCTAACGTTACACGCACTCTTTAAATGGGCCATGAGAAAGAGAGAATTAGAATGCGATTGGCCTAACATTACACGTCTTCAACAGGGTGTCTCGAAGAGCAGAGATTAATCATTGTAGGCTTAATTGGTTCTTAGGTTGGGGTGTTGAGATGCTTTTGATTGAAAAAAGGTAGGCTTAGCCCTGACCCGAAGACAGTCTGACGGTAAGGTCTAGGCCTAAGATTAGTGAGTTTCATAGAGAAGGAGGAAGGTGGGGGAGGATTGAGGTTGAAGAAGGAATAACCTCTGAAAATTAGTTTTCACATTACTACATATTAATTATTTCTAACTCTCCAAGAGAAGAAGCAGTTAACGAGCCAACTTAAGCTGAGAAATTTCCAGTCCGATAACCGTTTCCTGACACTCCAAAAAAACATGTACCTCTCAGGTGGGATTTGCAACTAGATGACTAACCCTCTAAGGGAAAATCCCCTCTTTGCTCCTAATGGTTGCAAGCCCACCCAGAGGAAGAAATCGGACTGGTTTTTTCCCCACCTCCTATCCGCCCTTCATAAAATTGCCATTCAGACCGGCGGATGCTGGAGTTCCAATGTAAGGCAAAACGACTTTTACCCAGGTAAATTTTATTATCATGGTGGACATTTTTAACATGCAGGGAACAATTTGCGGGGAAGAACACATTCGCTCATATGGGAGGTGTAACGGTATCGTTAGTCCTTATAAAGACCTTTTCGACTTCGTCGTCCATGGAGATCGAGCAGAAGAAAGATTTTACATTCCGGCGATAGGCACTGGTAGCGCCTATTGTCTTTCTTCTACCCCCTCCAGTAGCAAAATTCTATCTTCTTGTATTGCTCTCTGAGAGCATCGACAGAAACGAAATTATACATGCATCTTCCTCTCCCAACCCAGAATATTTAAAGGAAATTTGAAGCTCCATTTCCCAGGGGTTGTAGAGAACATCGTCGTTTTTGAAAGATGCGAATTTCATGTATTTTTCTCCCTTGTCCTGGGTAGCCACCCCTGCAAGATTTTCGGAACGAAGAGATGAACCATGAAAACGATATTGATTGACGAAAAGTGGTCTTTTCTGTTTGCGATGCACCATTTCGCCATAAAAATGAAATTAGATGTCGATCAATTAGACTTAGAGAGCTTGCTCTGGTACTGTCTCCCCAGTGTTGCCGGATACCGTGCCGAAATTACGCCAGATTCAAGACTACTTCAACATTCGTATCTGCGTCTGGACCTTCTGTTTTTTAAATGTATGATGCATTTTGTGCTGAGTTCAGGTGTTTATCTGAGAATGAAGCAGTGGTTAGCAGTGATCCATGGATGTGGTGGGAAATGGAAATATCTTGTAGCAACATCTTTGAATTAATATGATGGCGCGCACCGTGGTTATTATGCTTCCTGGAGGCATTCCCTCCCCAGACCTATCCGAGATGGTTCGAGGAACTCCAGATAGGCCTAACGTTTCACGTATACCTGATATGGTATATAAAACGCGAAACAGGCCTCAAAACCGTCTAACGTTACATGTCCTCTCTCAAATGGTTGGAGAAAGTATGAAGAGGCCTTCGATTGGCCTAACGTTACACGTCCCCAAGAGATGTATGGAAGACCACAGATGCAACCTTATAGGCCTAATTGGCCCTGTTAGTCGAGAATTGAGTTTCTTTTGGGACTCGTGGAATACGGCAGGTGCGCAATGATTTATGCTAAATTCTTCCTTTTCCCAGAAAAATGTGGCATGTGGCAACCCTATACCTAATTATTTTAAAGATAAAAATCCTGAATGATAATTATTTTCCCCGGACCTTGACCGCACTTCATTTTTCCCCTTCGAGAACATGCAACAAATTATCACATACCAGGCAGAGATGTTGCAAGAGAATGGAATAAGTGTCATGGGAGCTTTTCTCTTCAGACGCGTTAGCATGCTTACACCCGAGCCCATGTCCATAAAGCACCCCACCATTGCTGCCTCAATGTGAGAAGAGGTGAAGATGGACATCAAGGTGCTGAAGGAGCTAACAAGATTTTCTTTCTGCATGGTACGAGTTTGGCTAGCAATTCTGATGTGTCATAATGAACTTGTGTGTTGATACCGCTTGCTGCGTAGCCCATGAAAGAAGAAAAGCCCTCTCGTACTTTATACTCGTTTGACCATAGCAAATACAGAAAAATAAAAGTTCTTGACTGTAGCTGTTCAGTCTGAAGAAGTCGTGATAGTTCAAGCTGCATGTGGCTGACAATATGAGAATATCTATCAAACGTTTATCCCGTTTCAAAGTAGGGGAAGGTGAGGCAAAATGGGGCGAGGGGCAAAACGGGGCAACGCAGATTTTACCAAAACCATACCCGATATCTATCGGCTACTTACCCCATTATAACCGTCCATGACCGGTGCAAATTTTCAGGCACGGCGGCACTCTCTAAAGTAGTTTTAAACACATACGAAGAAAAATAAGAAAACTTCGACTTTTCATCAGCGAAACAAAGTAACATGGGAACATTGGAGACTTCCGATATTTTTTTTCTGGCTGAAGGTGAACATGTGAACTATTGCATGAAGTCATCATTTTTTGCATAGCTCACTAACCTCTTGATTGGCAGTGTCTTTCCTATAGACGGTGCTGATGGGACAAAATGGGGCGGTATAGCAGCTCTGTATATATATTCTAGTCTGGCTGGAACATCCATCACAATGGTTAGGCTCAGGCCGACGCGTTGTCTTACTGCTCAGATTCTTTCTCTCGCTCAAAACGCAGTGGAGGTTGGGTCACCGGAGTTCAGCTCATGACAGTTGTGCAGGCATCGAACACGACACGGATATGGACGTGTTTTTCTGTGACATCAGTAAATTTGCATCTATGAAGAATACATGGATAACAATTTGAAACAGCAATGATTGTTTTGCCTTAAATGTTTCATTGTTGTTTCCGTTATGTTGCCTTAGTAATTAGGCATGTCATAAAGATATAGGAAACTATGTGGGGGAAAATTGGATTAATTGTAGATGTTTCATTGCTCTTTCTGTTCTCTGACCTTTGTAAGTAAGAATGAAGACCTGAAGAAACGAGGGAAAACATATTGTAATTTGTGGATATTTTGTTGAGGTCTCTGTCCTGTGAACTT